GTGTGTTTATTTTGGAGATTGGCATTGTACAGTGTAACAAATGGAATAATGGAAAGAAACCCTCACCACCACCGTGAGGTGGTGGCTGCCGCCACCGGCCGCCTTGTCGGGTGGCGGTGTGCTTTGCCTTGTCGTGTTTGAGTCGGTTAGGATGCTTGAAACCCTAATGGGCCCAATGAAGCCCTAATGGGCCTAATGAACCCTAATTGACCAAATGACCTAGCTATTGGGCCTATTGGGCTAAGATGGGTTGGAAACCCTAATTAGGGTTTGGAAAACACTAATGCCATGAAACCCTAATTTGGGATTTATCGGGACCGCATCAGAATTATTTAATGATCTTAAAATATTAATTAATAATCATTGCAAATTAATTTAAGGCCATGTGGGACTCAATGGATTAAGTCATTAATGGGTTAAGTAGGGACACTTAACCCTAATCATCATTTTATGTGAAACCCTAATTCCACTTGGGCATTTCTATTGGGATTTGATGATTGGGATAATAATGGGCCATCCAAGAACAAGCAATTGAGCTAGAATAATTTAATGGGCCTAGAGTAAGGCCCGTGTAAGAGGTTTGGGCCCAATTTGGAAAATTAGGCCATAGTTTGGGCCTTAATGATTATATGATATTGGGCCATTAGAATGTCAAACGTTGGACTGGAATAAATTGTTGGGCCTTAAAATAAGGTCATGTAAAAGCTTGGGCCCAATTTGGAAAATTGGGCCATATGTTGGGCTTTGAGCCATAGTTGGACTTTTGGGCCTTTGGATTGGGCCTTGGGCTTGAATCAAGCCAAGTTAGGGGTAGAGTAGTCTTTTACCCCCAAGCATGGACTTATGGTTATACATTGGAACCCAATTATTAATTGGGTGTCATTTTGATGTTGACAGTTCGGGAACCTGTCATCCAGCAACTGGGATTGTGTCTACGGGACTTCAGCAGTGTGAGGTGAGTTACCTTCCAGTAGAAGTGGGTCTAAGGCCACAATGTCGGCCCACTAGTAGGAGTTGTTTGTTAGATGATTGTCTTTGTGATAATTATCTGGTATGCTCTTATCTGTTATGTTTGTGTGCTAGGATGCTATGTGATACATGTTAGTAGTAGTAGGGGTGAAATAGTCCTCGAATACCGGTTGAAAGATACCGAAGGGGTCGTCAGGACCCATGCATGCCTAGCAGTATGTTTATGTTATGTATTATGTGGTAGTGGTAGGGGTGAAATAGTCCCCGTTATCCGGTTGAAACAGACCGAAGGGGAGGCCAACACCCAGATATTCTAGGCAGTTATCCGGTTGAAACAGACCGAAGGGGAGGCCAGCACCCAGATATGCTAGGCAGTTATCCGGTTGAAAGAGACCGAAGGGGAGGCCAGCACCCATATATGCTTGGCTATGTATGTTACTGTATGGTATGTGGTATGAAGGGGGGAACTCACTAAGCTTTGTGCTTACGGTTTTCAGTTTTGGTTTCAGGTACTTCGTTTTCAAAGGAAGGAGTCGGCTCGATCGCAGCGCATCACACTATATTTTCGCACATGAGATCTTGGGGATTACACTCTGATATTGTTTTATGATAACATGTTTTTATTATTTCTACTTTGGTTTTTGACATGAGATGTTATTATGGATGTTTTATTACTTATGGTTTTAAAATAACTTATTTAAAAATGAATTTTTCAGCCTTAAATTTTGGGATGTTACATGTTACCTTTTCATGGATATAAGGATCATCGGAATCGGGTTGGTAACAAAGAAGTTATGACTTTCAGAGTATATTAGGTTAAGGGGTTAAGCAGTACGCAGGGCGTACATATATGTACGCATGGCGTACTAGTTCTAAATCCGTTACGCAGGGCGTACAGATGCGAAGCAGGATCGCGCCTTCGGGCACGTACGCGGGGCGTACAATGGTGTACGCAGGGCGTACATGCATCTTAATGAAAACCCTAATTTCGATGATTTACCCTATATAATATCATTAAGTCTTTTTGGTTGGTCCTTATACCAGCCTCCAAGTTCCCAAAAACCCTAGAAATCGTCTCTAAGCCTCCATGGTTGTAATTTTGAGCTCATGATGTGCATTTTGGTGTTTTTGGGTCATTACCAAGAAGATGGAGTTTGATGCAAGGTTGTGAATCAAGGATGAGCTTATGGATCTGGATTATGTGCTTCATTTCCAGCTTATTTGAGGTAAAAAGCTTGAACCTTGTTCATTGTTAGCTTAGTTCTAGCATATATGAGTTTTTGGTTCATTTTTGGTCCCATGGATGAGATTTAGTGGTTGATACCATTCTTGGAGGTTAGAGTTGCCACTCTTGGTGTTTCTATGGTCCTAGATTCATAAAGTTGGCACATTTAGGGCTTAGAATCCCCCATGCTTGAGTTTGATCTCATTTAATGGAAGCGGAAGGTTATATTTCGAGATTGGATTCATTTGGGTCATGCAAAGTCACCAAGTTAGTGACTTTATGGTTCTAGACGTTGTTTATGATTTAGATCTATGGTTTGGACCTCTGGACTTAAGCATTAAGAGCTTAATGTTGTATATGGCTTAAAGGAGGAGTACGCTAGGCGTACAAGTCTGTACGCGCAGCGTACAAGCCAGATCGCATGTACGCTTAGCGTACAACTGAGTACGCCCCGTGTACCCAGTCAAGAGGGTTTTGGCCTTTTGGGCTTCGTGTTAGGCTTCCTTATTGGGCTTGGGTGTTTGAGTTCTTATTGGGCCATCTGAGTATGAGTGTCTTGGACTAGGAATTTTTGTTGGGCTTTAGGGTAAGGCCCATGTAAGGGGTTTGGCCCAATTTGGAAAATTAGGCCATAATTGGGCCTTGGTTGGTTATTTGACTTTTGGGCCTTTCAGGTTATGAGTTGGGCCTTGGTCTTGGACCAAGCTGGATTAGGGGTAAAATGGTCTTTTTACCCCACATATGGATTTATGGTTATGGACTTATAGTTTGGAACCCAATTGGTAATTCGATGTTGTTTTGATATTGACAGCTCAGAAATCTGTCAGCCAGCAGCCAGGGATCGTCTGTGTGTTCGACAGTGCGAGTTGAGTCTATTCACTGGGTTTAGTGGGTCGAAGACACCAATGCAGACCCATAGTTTTATGTTAGGATGCTAGATGTATGTTCGACTCTTGCGTACATTATATGATTATATGTTTAGCGGGCAAGGCCCGATGCCAGGCGAGGCCTGAGGAGGATATCGTATGTTAATTATCAGTATAGAAGACCGGAGCATAAGGACTTAGTATAGAAGAATAATTTTTATAAAAATTATATTTTTCATTGCTGTTTATTTAATAGATAGATTTTATTGTAAAACCGTGATTAAAACCTGAGATTTAAAGTGTTTTAATTTTAGTAGAATTCCACATTTTGTAGATAAAACTTTGATAATTCCCATAAATATTTGTATAGAAAATCCGGGTTGTTACGCGATCTCTAGATGGGTGAATCGTATTGTTCCTTCTTGGAATTTGATTAAAGAACTTTAGACTTGGGTGGATTCGGTTCAATTGCAATCCCCAACGAAATCAATGTTCGAAGCAATTATATGGCTACTTTGTGGGTGTTGTGGCAGTATTGAAATGTTATTAGTTTTAGAAGTGATAAGAAAAATGGAGCCAACTTTTGATTCAATAGTAGACTATTCCTATATTTGGTATGTTTATAAGAATATTAAAGTCGTCAACAATTGGGTTTCTTGGATCCAAAACCCAATGATGTTTATTGCTTTGTAATTGGTTTTTTCCCTCTTGTTTCTTGCTAGCATGAATCATGACCGTTCAAAAAGAAAACTTGTTAAAAATACCTTTTCCATTGTTTCACACCATTCTTGGTTACACTCCGTGACATGGCTACTATTACCAACCAAACAGTTTAGCTGACGTGACAAGCCACATGGCTACCAACGAGTATTTTACATAAAAACATGTTACACGTCATAATCAAGATGCATACTATTTATTAGAAAAACCTTCATTGGCATAGCGTTAAATACCTCATCCAACGAGGGTAAGATCATGGTTTGATTCTTGTTCATTCCATTTTAATATTTCTTTAGGGGCTTTAACTTACTTATATACACAAGATATAACCACATGCACCAAATATTATACATAAAACACCATTTAGCCCAACATTAAGTGTTGGCTTTATACCTAAGAGGTCCGATTTTCGATCCCTACCAACATCGTTCCCTACCAACATCGTTCCTTCAAAAACATCTAAGGAATCAAGAGTTTCTTGCAAAAAGAAAGAAGATTTTTAACAAGTTAATATGAAAAACCTCGTATAACCATAAAATTGGCTTTCTTTAATATCTAGTTTTTTACAATGTTTTAAAAACCGGTTTTCTAATTGAACCAGTATGATGATCGGTTTCCGGTTCAACCACTGGATCAATCCAGTTTTTCTAAAATCACTCCAAATGTATTACAAAATATATAACCATAAGTTTTCATCAATTTACATACATCAAAAAGAAAATAAAATATATTATTGAAACAATATAGTTTTAGATGAATACGAATACATCAAAAAATTTCATAACATTTCTCATATGTATTTATTCAATTTAACACATGTCTAAATAGATATGAAAAGATCACCACATTTTTCTATACAAAATGTTTCATTTCAATGTATTTTTATTAAATTTAACTGGTTCAACCAGGTTTTTATATAAACCTGCCGGTTTGTTCCGGTTAAAACATAAAAATAAAATCGGTGCTAGTTAACCTGCTCTATTTTTCGATTTCCAATTCAATCGATTCGACAGACCAATCCAAATTGATTTTTAAAAGATTGTTTTTTTATGCTCCAAAGTACAATCTCCATCATTTTTATATACGTTCAAAGTACAAACTCCATCGTTTTATATGCATAAATTTGTGAGTCGTGGACCAGGTAATTTTCAGCTTCATAAACCATATAGCCCAAGACCGAAGCCCAAAACTCTGATGCGTCAAAATGAAAAATATCGCTTTGTTTTCCCTTCAAACTTCACCCTTATCCCTCTTCTGCTTCATCTCTAACACTTCCAATGGCTACTCTCAATTTCTCAATCCTCTCTAAAACCCTAACCCCTAAATCCCCAAATCCTATTTCTAAACCCTCTTCATTCATCACTTCTAACCTTCCTTTCGTCAATTCTCAATCCCTAAAACCCATTTTCACACAAATCATTCCAAAGTCGTCCCGGGTTCGGACACACCAAATAAGGGCGGCAGTCGATGGGGATTATTCGTCCAGAAGGAGCAGTAGTAGTGAACCCAGGGAGACCATTATGTTACCTGGATGCGATTATAATCATTGGTTGATAGTCATGGAGTTTCCGAAGGATCCTGCTCCGACCAGAGAGCAAATGATTGACACTTACCTCAATACACTTGCTTCTGTTCTTGGCAGGTACGTTTTTCTTCTTTATTTTCTAAAATCTCAGTATCTTTAATCTTTTATAAGTGCTTTATCACCTGGTTAATATGTGGTTATCACTCAAGTATCGCGTCCATATTTCAAAATGTTGAATTTGTTATCGATCCTTAACATTGTATAACATTGGATTTTGCAAAGGTGTTTGTAGTTATGTCTAACTGGAATATGTAAATATGAATGTTTATTAAACATCGTTTCATACATTTTCTTATCCATATAGAATTGTGTAACCATAATAGTAATGTACATACAATATCTTCACACATAACATCAACGTACTTACAATTCATAATAAGCAACATATTTACATTGATTTAGAAGTAAATCGATCTTTACTTGTTTGCATAAAATGAATTTGTTAGACCTTAAATAATTCTGCTAAATTTGTGAATGCTAGTATGGAAGAAGCAAAGAAAAACATGTATGCTTTTAGCACTACCACATACACAGGGTTCCAGTGCACTGTATCTGAAGAAACATCTGAAAAATTCAAAGGTGAGTGATCATATCAATAACATTATTAAGTTTTTTTTTTTGGAAAAAAAATTATATCAAATGTCTACATACTTCTTAATTTGTAGGATTACCTGGAGTGCTTTGGGTATTGCCTGATTCATACATTGATGTGAAGAACAAGGACTATGGAGGTGATTTATTTAATTTTTTTGCCAAAAGTTTGTGAAAAAAGACTTAGATTTTATTATGACACGTCACATATTAATGTTTGTGTTTATAATTCTTAGGTGATAAATATGTGAATGGAGAAATAATTCCATGTCAATATCCAACTTATCAACCAAAACCACGAAAACAATCAAAATATGAGAGTAAAAGATATGTAAGACAAAGAGATGGACCTCCTCCTGAGCAAAGAAGACCAAAGCAAGAGGCCACATCCACTTCTTCTGAATCACCTTCTGCATGATATCTCATGGTAAGGACATTGATGAGGATGAGGGCATTTATGTCTTTTTAACAAACAAGAGATTTAGGGTGAGTCCCTTTCCCACCTTTTTAGGTGGGACAAAAAGACATAAAGACAAAAAGGTGCAAATTTTGTCTCATTGACATCGGTCTTGTCACAGTCCAATGCAAGCAAAACACAGTACAAGTTGTTATGTTCTGTCCTGTGCTAGACTGTGTAAATTGGGTGTTATATAGTATACTTGTTTTGCAGGGTGGCAACCATAAGTTGAGGATGAAGACACTATGGGAAATGCTAGCAACATCTTGTAGCCATGTCTATGCAATCAAGAAGAAGAAGAAGAAGAAAGAGATTTCTGCTTATGATGTGGTTTAATTTTGTTAAATTTTTGGGCAGAAATTATGTGAAAACTTTTCATGGCTTGTAGTTGAAAACTATAACATATGTGATCGATTTAGTTATTGAATTTAATCCGTTCAAAAATTATTTGAGAAAATAAAAACATACTGCGGGAAATAGATGAAAAAATAAACGAGGGCAAAATTAGTATATAAGGGAGGAATTGATAAAAAAGCAGTTAAAATATTATTATTTTCTTAAAAATTATTGGGAAAACAGAAAACTGCATAAAAGTTTTTATATATTGGTCTTATAATTAATTTAGTTTATATATATATTTTTTATTCAATTAAGTACCAAACACCCGTAATTTTATTTGTTATAAATTCATCCTAAATGTAGTTTTATTACATCTTTTTTAAAAAAAAAATTTGTTTCCAAAATGTTTTTATTCTTTATAAAATTATTTTATACAAAAAAACATATTTTAACATAAAAGCCTATTTTTTCTATATAATTTGTAGAAAAAAAAAACATTTTTGTATATGAAATTCCTATTTATGGAAATAGGTATTTATTAAGTATATGAATATATACAAATTCGTTTTTATAAAAAAATATAGATGCATATTTTATAAAAAATATATATATACAAACACATATTTTACTATAAATGTATTTATATACCAACACATATTTATAAAAAAAATACATACAAACACATTTTTATTAAAAAATGTATACAAACACCTATT